CATCCGCATTAGTGTTTTTTTCTTCAAATGGAAAGATTGGTGATTTTGATGATGTTTGTGTTGGCGATGTGGGAAGTGAAGGCGGGTGTATTTGAGCAGGCAAATTAGATGTTTGTGGTGAGGTTGCTGATAATGGTACTGTAGGAGAATCAGATGCTTGTGGTAAGGTGGCCGATGTTGGCATCGTAGGAGAATCAGATGCTTGTGGTAAGGTGGCCGATGTTGGCACTGTAGGAGAATCAGATGCTTCTGGTAAGGTGGCCGATGTTGGCACTGTAGGAGAATCAGATGCTTCTGGCAAGGTGGCCGATGTTGGCACTGTAGGAGAATCAGATGCTTGTGGTAAGGTGGCTGATGTTGGCACTGTAGGAGAATCAGATGCTTGTGGTGACGTGGCCGATGATGGCACTGTAGGCGCATCTTGAACAATTTTTGTTGTATCGTCCAACTCATCTAAATTGAAACTTGATGATTTTTGTGATTTTTTTTCAAGAGCGTCTAAATGAATTATAATTATGGTTATAATAATCAATAAAAGTGCAATAGGGAGAAAAAAAAAAAAATAGTAATAAATTTTATTATCTTTATTATCTTACCAACTACAATCCTATGACATCTAATAAGAGTATCAAGTTTCTCATAGGGAGCCTTCATTTGATCCAAATTTTGTAATTCTCTACCCGCAGTTTTCACGACCATATCAATTTGCTCTTGTTGCAAATTGACATCAACTCCAAGATGTAAAAGACATAATTTACAAAAGTTTAAAGCTGCAATTTTTGATCCTAAAATATCGTCTTGTAAATTATCATCAGACCACTTTGGACAAAATATACTTTTTAAAAAAAAAGTAAATATAATTAATTTAAGATCTATACATAAAACTCATTTAATTGAAAATATATATACATACAGATCATAAAGTACAGTGCACACATATTTTTCAACAATATTCATTGATTTATCTATTTCATTTTCATTATCATCTTGCTTTTCTTCATTTAATTCAGCTTGTAATTCAAATTGATCTCCTAAACTATAAAAAAGACCTTGAATTTTATCAATTGATGTTTCTTCATCTTTTGGAGGTAGTTTAATGAATTCACCAGTAAAGCTAGAATATTAAGTTAATATATTATTATTATTATTATTTAAAAGAAAAAAACAAAATAAAATTATTAATCTTTTAAAAAGTCATAATATATATATATATATACCTATTAATTTCTTTTAATAAATTCTCTGGTAAATCAGGACTTTTAACTTTAAATTCTTCTGCTTTATGTGCAGCAATACGTTCTGCAACTTCTTTAGCTCGTATAGGAGAATCAATTACTATAATTTGAATTGTCATTCCTTCAAAAAGAATATCAACATTTTTATTGATAATTTCGATCGACGGATAATCATAAGATAGATCAATAGGTTTTATAATCGTATCAAAAATTGATCTAAAAATGAATATATATATATATATATATATTTTAATGAAAAAAATTTTATAATTCTCGAATTTTATAATATAAAATGTGAAACTAACTTGCGAGTCTTAGAATTTTCTTTAATATAAGTTGAAATTTCAGGTTCAGGTGGTACCAATCCAATAACCTTAAACGTATCCCTAATAATTAAAGTGATAAAAAATGTTTGTAATTATATATAATAACTCTATTTAAAAGACAAAAAAAAAAAAAAAATAATAATAATAATTTACTTACTGTTGAATGAAACCAGTTACACCATTCAAAGTTATTACTTTCTGACCATCTTCGCTTGGTTGAGAGACAATTACATGATCTTCAAGGAAAGTTAGATCGATTTGTTCGAAAGGCATTACGGGAGACGTAGGGAGTAATAGTGTTGCCTGAGAATGGCCAATCCAGAGATAAAATTTGTATGGGGTGGTGTCAACCAAAAAGATACATTTTGGAAGGCATTGTCAAACTAATGCTACAAATACATACTAGGGTGCAGGGTCCTGCCAAAAGTCAAAAGACATGCAGTCTCCAACCTTTTTTGCAATCAACATTTGCACAATGCCCGAAAAGTCCAAATTCAATTCACGAAGTTTAGTTAACATCAAACCGCCTACTGAATCGCTGGGTACTGGTTGAGAAGAAAATCTTGGCTGTAATGAAGATGAGGAAGAAGTTGAAGAAGACGAAGGAGATCTACGACTTCGTTGACTTGACCAGATAGAGTTTACGTCACTTTCTTCATCGTCAAAATTCTGCAAGGGATGATTTGTGAGTGAATCAGTACTTTTTGCGGGTTTTAAACGAAGTGAAGCTATTTGAGGTGAGGTTATGTTGACGCCGTTAATTCCATGAAAATTTTTTGTGGATATCGGTGGGGGAGATATCGGATATGTTGACATATTTTCGTTGGAATTCGAAGGCGTATTTGGTTTCTTGTCTTCCATTTTTTTTTTCTTGTTCAGATATTAATTGAACAACGAAGAGATATATTGTTACAGTGGCTGTGGAACAAATAATAGTGTGCCTCAAAATTATATTTCGTACGTAAACATTTTTTACATGTGATATATTCTAGTATTGGTTAATCAGTGTTACAAAAATTCGCAACGAATAACGACTGTTATTTAACAACTGTACAGTATTCTTTTTTTAATAATTTTTAAATTTTTATAAAAATAAATTTATTCCGTGATGCTATACAAAAGCAATCCAGTAATCATCTTGATTTTTTTTTTTTTTTTTTTAAAAGATATTTTACAAAAAAAATAAAACAAATATTAATATAAAAAAATAAAATAAAAAATAAGAGTTGATTCTTAGAAATATAAGCCTTATGCTTATAAATTAAACATATGTAATTGTGGTACCAGCCTTCACGGTTACCCATAATTTGACCATTCCTTTGATCATTATTTCCCGTAACTTTTCTCTATTCCAACCATTGATTAGAATAATAAAAATTAGAAATGCTAGGAAGGCGGTTTTTGGATAGGACATAGAAGTTCTAGCCCTATGTAAATAATCAAAAAAAAACCCTGTTATTCGGTTAATCGAGGTTGACGCTAGCGGAATTTGTCGATTTCCCGAAATATTTCTAAAATTTTCTACTATGGATAATTTAGAAGCTGAATTATGACGGGTTGTTGATGATGATGATGATCCATTTAAGTGATGTTTTTGGTTTTGACTTGTCGATGATATACTTCCACGGTGATGTGATAGACCATTTTTGTGACTATTAATTTCATCTCTTCTTTGTTTTTCCTTTTTTGATTTGGTATGCCTAGGTGATGTTGACCTATTAGACTTATTTTTTAATTTCAAAAGTGCTCGTTCATAAGTCTATTTCCAAATAATTGAAAGTTAGTAATTTTTAATGAATATCAGATATACCAAATTTTTATCTATCAAGTTATAATTATCTCTACCTGCTTGCAAGTATTATCTATAATAGTATTTTTAGAAAGAAAGATATTTGCAGTATTCCATTCTTTCAATTTTGGTAAAACATGTAATATATATAATTCAATAATTTTTTCATAAGGATTTAATACAGAATCATTTTTTATATCGATAATAGAAGTATTTTCCTCCCAATCTTCTATTATTCTACGAGCAATCTTATAACATTTTTGGTTTAAACAAAGAAGGACACTAACAAAAAATTATTGTAATCCCGTTATAAATATATAAATAAATAAATATATATATATATATATATATATTTTTTTTTTATAATAAAAAAAAAAAAAAAAAAATTCTTACCCACCATGCAATAATAACTTCGCCAGGAACTTCCCCGTCTTCATTGTTATATCCATTTGTAACAACTCTTCTATAAACCTCGTCACAAATTATTTCCGGTTGTTTCTCCAAGAGTTTAATAATCTCAAGGTCCTTAACTACTATTTGCTGCTTTTCAGCTAGTAGAGCAGTTATAAGATTTATATAAAGATTCCAGACCTTTACTTGTATGATTCTTGTTGGGGGGTATTCAGTGACTAGTGGGAGACTTGGAAGTTTGGAAATCGCTAATTCACATGAAGAATACGCTGAATCATAGTCTCTTAAAAAAAAAGCATTTTTTGCTTCTTGATAAAATAAATTAAGAGTTTGAAAGTCTTCATGATTTGATTTATTTTTAAAAGTTTCAAAATGAGTCTCCGTTATAATATCCTTCTTTTGTGTAATATGTTCGGGAAAGTGTGGAGCCATTTTTTTAAAAAAAACCGTTGAAAGTTCACACAACTAAAGTCATTCTTCTCGTCAAACCTGTTAATTTGCCAAATATATAAATATAGATATATTATTATAAATAAAGTTATTATATATTAGCAGGTGATCTTCTATCTGCTATGTCATGAGTTTTTTTTTTTTTTTTTATTATTATCGTATATATTCAGTTAAAGTTTTAACTCGTTTCACAGCAGAGAAACAATGCGCAACGATCAATATGGTGTATTTTAATAATTATCGATCAGGGAGGGAGGTTTTTTTTTGTACGTACTCTAATATTGATATTAAAAAATTTTATCGCACCTATGAAAAATTTCATGCGAGTCATGTCGAAATTATTTTTTTTGATCATACTTTATTATTACTGCGTCTTATCATATTAAAAATTTAACAATTTGGAGACGTAGTTTTTAAAGAATCTTATACTGTAGATGTATTATTATATAGATTTGAAATAAATGAATAATTTGAAGTATATAGATTAGCAGTTAGAAATATTTTAACCATTTCTTGATTTTACCTTTTATAAAATATAGTATGATATATTGTTATATTTGCAAGTATAACAGAACTTGAAACTTTCTCATAAAGGCTATTCTATTTTTACGTGCTTTAACGATTCTGATGTAATTTAAAAGAAATCTTAAGAAAAAATTATTCTTTATAATAAAATTTGAAGAAAATTCAAATGCTTTGGGATAATTCACTATCTATTGACTTACCGGTATATACTTTAATATATCTTATATTCTGATCTTAGTATTGTTCAAAAAATTATATCGATATAAAAAAAATAGGTTTGCTTCGATCCTTAAAATTTGATTGGCTAATTATAGTAGACGTCCTATATGAATATACACTCGATCATATGAGAAATCATTAACGAATCTGATTATATCTGATTAAACTTGCCAGAAGCAAGTGATACTAACGAATAATTTTTCCACAAAGTTTCGTCAACTGTTTATTATGTAAATTTATTACTTCCGAGCAGTGTCTAAAATTCAGTATAAAAACTATGGGCGGGCCGCACATTACACTTAGATTCTGGTGCGCTGCAGCTCCCCTAAAATTTTTTTAATGTGCGCAATAAAAATTGCTTCGAGAAAAGCTTTATTGTTTCGCAATTATTTGATAATTTTGATTATTAATCGATTAGCAAGTTAACTGCATAATAAATATAGCGCATATCGAAGCTTAAAACATATATGAATTTAAAAATTTTAATGTGCGTATTTCGTCAATAATTTTAAAGTATATGTACGCAAAGCGCCCGTACTATTGATCTTTAAGGTGCGGAAAATTTTTTTAACGTGCGCTCCGCTCCTTCCGCACATTAATTTTAGACATTGCTTCCGAGTAGCAAGTAATAAATTTACATAATAAACAGTTGACGAAACTTTGTGGAAATATTATTCGTTAGTATCACTTGCTTCTGGCAAATTTAATAAGATATAATCAGATTCGTTAATGATTTCTTATATAATCGAGTGTATTTTCATATAGGACGTCTACTATAATTAGTCAATCAAATTTTAAGGATCGACAACCAATCAGATGGATATTCGACCATGCTTTTTTGCGGGTGTGCTACCAAAAATATCCTCTTTTCACCTCTTTCACCTTTTTTATCTCTTTTACTTCTTTCACTTCTTTCACCTCTTTCTATAAATACAATATGGAGTAGAAGTAAGTAGAATTAATTAAATTACGGTGGATAGGGTCAAGAACATCAATCTTATATCTTTTATGCTCTAATAAGAGCAAATTCGACAAAAACAACCAGTTTTCACAGAATCTTTCGGCAAACAAAAAATCCTTAGAGTTATACAGAAAAAGAAGAATTTCTAATTGAAAAAATAGATCCGACAATATACTTTGAGAATTTAAAATTTAGATTTGGCCAAAAGAAAGAAAGTTAAATTATAATTAAATTTTACAATAACAATATTTTAGAATTAGGATTATGATAGAATATTTTTATTTTTTTAAATATGTAAGAATTGTAATATTAAAGTGTAGGGTTGGTTAAGTGCTAAATAAATAAAGTTATAAATTTTAAATTTACAAATGGGCACGCCCATAGCAAAAGCAGAGGATGAGACTATATATTATATAGTCTCATCTCCTGCTTTTGCTGTGAGCGTCCCCAAATATACATAAACTGGTTCCCAGTGAAAATATGCCTAATGACATTAGCAATAATAGTATCAATTTAAAAAATTGCTTAAAACCAGAAAAGGCAACAGTCCGTTTTCATATCGATGATTACAGCGCGTAAAACGTCCCCACTTAGTTTTTGAGGGAGGAAAAGCGGTCCACATGAAGCAGCAGGATGCATTGGAAACAAAGTTGTAGAGACTCTGGATTTTAAACTGACAATGTATAGCCCCAGTCGAAATATCACTTTCTCCCTACTCCTTTTAAATCTTATATTAGCAGAAATAATTTTTTTGCTTTTTTTTTGTTTTTGTTTCTATTTCTGCTGATTTTTGATTCATAAAGAAGTGAAGGTGGGTATTTTCGGGACTATACGTTAATTTTTTTGAAAAAGTCTATTGATTCCATATGAGGAGTCGATTAAGCAACTTCCTTTTCACATAAAACTTGCAGTTTATGCCTGCATCCGTTATCCATCTTTTTTATTTGATTATGCTTATTGTGAAACATTTTTTTCATTAATTTTACTTCTTTTACGTATACAGTATTACAGTTAGGCGATTTACCTAAGAAAAAACTTATTTGCCGATATACTCTCAAACGGAAAAAGGCCGAAAAATTCGTTACGCAACGTTTAATTCGTTTTTTTTTTGGTTTGCAATGCAACAAAGCATCTACGTTCATTTGAGTTTTTTTTTAGGTATAATACGTACTGTAGCAATTAGAAATAGATCGTCAATACATTAGACAAATTAGACCGATCACATACTTGTTTTATATATTTAGTAAATGCATAATGATAAGTAGATTTAACAAATATAGCATATCGAGTAGATTTAGCATAACTAGCATATATATAGTATTTAGCATAATTACCGCATATAGCATATTCAGTAAATATATAATTATTATACGTAAAAGCATAAGCATTTACAAAAACTGTAATGAAGTCTGACAAAAACGAATTAATAAAGACTCTGCCAAATCCGCGTCCTCTTTTGAGTATAGTCATTTAACGTTACGCAGACTTCCCTAGTTTACCCTATGAATAGGGATTTTTAAAGAGCAACGATTTACGAAGTGTCACAGTACGACGGTTTGTTACGTTTGTTGAGTTCGTTTTTACATACTCACATTCTTTTTTTTTTGTATTACAGAAACGAAAAAGGTCCAACGAAAAAGAAAATTCCATTAATGAAAATGACAGAATTAAGAGTTCTAAACGTGAAATTTCACGTTTTTGTTTTATGTTTTTTGGGTTGGTAAGTTTGTTGCGCTTTGATATTTTAATATGTTTTAATACGTTCGTTAGGCTTTTTTTTTTTTTTCTGGTTTAACGTATCGGTATTATAAATCAAAACAAATAATTTAAATTTTAAATTTAACAGGTTATGGAAATATAGACTTTGAAGCATTGACGAGGCCTTAGGGATTGAAAACGATAATAATTAGATTTAAAAAAGCTATAATAAATATCAAATGACAATACTGTATTAATTAATAAATATAAAAAAACAATTCTCAATAATTTTTTTATAATTTCTTGTTTTATCACATGTATATAAAGTTTATATTTAATATTTGGTACAGACAAGTCTTTTACTAGAGGTTGGAACCGGTTTTAATAATTCGGGTTTATCACGTGAATTTTGTGATATTTTAGAAATTTATCCAATTAAATTTTAATAAATTCTAAAATATCACAAAATTCATGTGATAAACCCGAATTATTATCTTTTACAACATAAATTTAAAAAGATATATTTTACCGATATAACGCTAAAATATTCTACGTATTCATAGATATGACAAAATATCGTTATTTTTTGAGTATAAATAACATTTACTAGTCGAATTAGATAATATACATAATAATTTTCATAATTTATAAATGTTCCACTAACAGCTAAGTGAAATCCTAATATACTAAATTTAAGGTTCAACATCTAAAATTATCATAACTACATATACATATATAAATTTTTTTTTACTATTTTAATTAACAAACATTTTTAATTGCATCAAAAGCTTCACGTTCTTCTTCTTTTACGGCTTCATCTATTTGAGGTGAAAAATACTTTCATCCTTAAATCATATTAAAATACCATTAATATAATCATTAACCTTTTTTACATTAAAAAAAAAAAGAATAATAAACCTACTTCTTTAGGTTTTGTCCATTTTTTGTTTGGTAAAATGACATGCTGTACGGTTGCTTGAAAAGCGGTTTTAATTCGAAAGTTTCTAAGATCCTGTTCTTTAGGTGGTTATACGTCTTAATGCTTCTCGAGCTGTATCGCTATCGTCATACTTAAACCTGATAAATTTATGTTTAAATAAAACTTTAAACCCAACTTTTAAATTAAAAAAAAATCAATTTCTCTCCTATAAAATTTGCCACATAACAAATTGCCTATAACCGGCAATATTAGCATAATAATTAGAAACCGGTTTCAAGAGGCCATAAAGGAAACGACTATTTTTGAAGTGCTGTAAAGTGTTGGATAAGATATTTTTTAAGTGAA